TGGAAGCACTGTCTGACGCGTCTGCCTCCGCGACCCGAAAGGAGAAGCGGCGATGGAAGAAGAAGATGATCTTAACTTCTTGAATTAAAAAAATTCTAACCGATTTGCTGCGGTTGGAGTAAAGTTTTGACTTGAGCAAAGACATAGTCGATAGTTTACTGAGAATAACAGCAAGATCATAACTGAAATGAACAGTAAAATGAACAAATCATATCCTCAATTATAAAAAGTTTAATCGCACTAAATCACCATCATACAAAATACTGAGTCTGATCACCGATAAATTTACTGGCTGCAATCAGATTTGTGAAGACAGGTATTTGTAGCATTTATATATGACAACAGCAAACCACAAAAACAGCACCAGAGAAATACTCATTAAAAAGCATGCTATTATTCCTGCTGATAATGCTAATTGATTAGCATCCTTAGTCGTATGATCATCGTTAGACATGGTCGTTATCAAAGCTAAAGCAGCGATTAGAACAATCAGCATAATAACATAATAGGCGATTTCGATCATCATGAAAATAAAATATGCCAACACAAAAGCAGGCTTCGATTTTTTCACTCCGTAGATCAAAATGATGGCCAATGTTACTGATACAAGCACACAAATTATATTAGCTACAAGCTGAGCGCCAATCTGAGTAAGAACGCACTGAAGTAGATACATGAGGCTCAACGCTATTGCGACAATGCCAATGACGAACGAACCGGTAGTCACGTGCATCATATTGCAGCAGCACATGTACTTTCTGTCTGTGATGTCCATTGTTTATCTTTTTTATTCTAAACAATGAAAGTAAAACGATGTGAAAGACAATATTCATACGATACTTTTTCTGTAAAGTGACAAACAATAATTCCTAACAACAAAATGTGCCACCTTTGTACAAAGTAGGTTCAGCGAAGCAGGCTGGACATTATAAACCCATATTTGATAGTCGAACATACAAGCAGCCGGATTTACCAATAAAAGCCCTCATTCAAGCAACACTAATACTATAAAGATAGAGGATAAACACAAGGATGAATACAGCATTTCTTCGGCTGAAAAAAAATATTAAAAAGATGGTCGAGACATTGCAAAAACAGAAAAAACTGCTAATTGGAATTGAGAGGAAAGTCGCGCAGAACTATGGACATGGATTGAGGTTACTTGCATGTTAAACTGAACAAACAAACGTGCTTCATACTTTTTCAAGTGCTAGTAGAACTCAGACACAACGTGGTAGCAAATCTGCAAGCAGTTTAGATTCGTACTGGGTCGAGAAACAACTGCTACATCCAGCTGACGGACAGTTGATAAGCATCATCATTGAGAAACTCTAGTTGAGTTGACTTAAACTACTATGACAACTAATAACCGGTTCTACGGTAAACTCGTACTTGAGGCAACGGCTTAGCGTCCAAATTGGTTTTATGCAAAAATTTACGACTAGTCCAGCCATGCGTCAAAACGCTGAAACTCCCACACAAAACGTAGATCGTATCAGAATTTTACATAATTTTCAGTAATAATTTTGATATTTGACATTCGGTCAGGATAGGTCGATTAGTATTGTTTCTATACATTGGTATTACGCAAGTGTGATAGGATATTTAACACATATTCACGAAGCAGATGCTTTCTCTAATAGTGGAACTACTGATTTGGCTACATGAAAAGGAAATCTAACGAGTACGTTAAATTTTGTTCGAGCTATGAGAAAAAGATGGCATCACATGGTAATAAATGACATGAAGACTTGGCAAAGCAATAAAATCGGTAGTTGAAGCTTCAAATGCTATTAATTTCTGTAATAGCCTTCTTTGGCCTGTCATTCAATGGTGTCATAGATTTAAGCCACAATATATTGTGTCATCTGAATGACTATCATAATCGTTATCAGCTTTTCCGATCCACTGCCGCATGAACATATCTCCAAGACTTCTGTTTCGGGTAGTTTCATCCATCTTTATCCAGGTAACTTGTTTAATTCATTCTGTCAGCGATCTGGAGGTCTTCTATGGCTTGCACATTCTTTCTTAGTACCGAATCGAATCTATTACTGATCCAGCGATAGTTAGTTATTCTTGGAAAATATCCTGCCCATTGCCACATTAACTTCTTCACTTGGGCAACGACATCACAGATTCTTGTTTGTGCTCTTGCCCACATTTGTTTATTTTCTTATCTTTCCGAATTATTCCAAATATATTACTTACCGTACTGCTTTGAGCAGTCTGACTATGGTATAGCAAAAACCATTACTGAAAAACAGACGCACTGAGGAGCACGATGCATGTCCATGGCGCTAACGAGTCTGTCAATTGTAGGCTGACACCAACTCTCAAAATAATTATTTTATAATTATTAAGTGCATGAACAACTGTTGATTGGAGAGCCGCTGTGTCGCAGCAGTTTCTGACAGTCACGTGTCATTAATGTTTACAACGGCTAAGGACATGTAAGAGTGAACTCACTGGAAATGGCGAACAACATTGTGCAAAGGACATAACTTTCCTCATGCACAGCCCTCACTTCACAGATTTCGTCAGCACAGGAAAAGCAAGCAGCAATCCACCTCCAGTAGATGGAACCGGCCTCAACTTTAATACATCTCTATCTTAATGTTCCGGTATAAATTCTTATCTAATAACAGACCACTGCTTTCTGCTCAGTCAAAGAAGCCCTTCTTCAGGGCACCGAAGATTAGTCGCCATGTGGCGATGGATAAGCTTCTATTCAATACAACACGACAGTACGACCAGATAATGAAACAGGGGGACACAAAATTATGCGAACTTAAACAAAGAACTGGCGCCAATCCGGACGAAAAGCCCGTTTCAAAATTTGACAGCCATTTTGACGGCTTCATAAAAATTCTGACGTCTATTCTGAGCATAACTGCCGGATTACAGAACACTGTTGGCCTTACGCGGCGAAACCGAGGTTGTATCTTTCAGCATGTTAGTATTCTGTGAAAAGATAGGAATAAACATTGCACCCATGCAATAAGCGCTGGCACAGCCTGCTATAATTCAACTGAACGAAATTCATGTATATGTTAACAACACGACCAAAGCGTTTTTCATCTCCATCAGATTTGCAGGTTCAGGTCATAGATCAAGCAGTGCAGCGGGGGATCAGTATTTCAAG